GAGCCGGCGCCACTCCGAACCCAACCCCCCCTCCCCCTGACACGGCCCAGGATCCGCAGCGAACAAGACTACAAGACTACAGATTGAGATAATGGAATTTGTACACACCCATTAGGCCCAACCAATCCGTATCGTCTGCCATAAACAATTGTTAACGAAGCCTTTTCGAAAAGGAGTTTACCTTGGGCACCAATGTCAAAATTTTCAACCTGAAGTCAGAACGCTGAAGTGAATAACTAACATAAACGCAAGTGACGCTAAATATAAACGCAAATGATCAAAACCTTGATATCCATATTATTGTCGGCTTGCTGCTTCTGAGTCTGACTTTGTGAAGACTGAGAAACAGTGAATTGACCGCCGAGGTGAGCCCCGGATCCAATACCTCCTTTTTCACCTGCAAGATACAATAGAAGAATCGCATACTACTTCATCTCCATAAACATAGTAGTTTGACAGAGTATGCCATAGACGACTCCCAACTGCTCTGCTCCCAGCTGGCGAGATGGATCTGAGAGCAGGTAGCCCAGTGGAAAATGCCGCTTGTAAAACCAGGGATGCGAGGGATTGCAAGTCAAATATGAAAGTGAAGGTACTGATCAATCTGCCAAAGAAGAAAAAGCAGAAGAAAACATCGAAAACACTCCAAATATCACAAGAATGCTGAGTTGTGGGCAAAAGTCGTGCCCCAGGCGGGAGTCGAACCCGCACCTCACGCTTTCCGGGCGAGTGCGCTATCCGTTACGCCACCGCCGCTTTTACCCTCTCAGCTTAACGGCTTATGCCGTAACCTTACAGCACTCACACGTTTAACTTGGTGAGCCGGTCAGCCGTAATCGTTAGATATCGGCATGGAACCGCAAGGCCGAAGGCTTTACAAGTTTTTGAAGCTGTTTTGTTATGATAACTGCTGTTTAACGCCGCAGTACGCGTTCCGAATGTTATCACAAGAATGCTGAGTTGTGGGCAAAAGTCGTGCCCCAGGCGGGAGTCGAACCGCACCCTGGTGGCGTAACGGATAGCGCACTCGCCCGGAAAGCGTGAGGTGCGGGTTCGACTCCCGCCTGGGGCACGACTTTTGCCCACAACTCAGCATTCTTGTGATAACATTCGGAACGCGTACTGCGGCGTTAAACAGCAGTTATCATAACAAAAACAGCTTCAAAAACACCTTCCATCGCAGCGGATGACGGGGCGTGTCAGTGAGACAGGGTTTAGCGCGCCGCCAACCCGCTTTCCTACTAGTTGTTAGAAGCAGGTAAGCGACAACAATAGGTGAGAAACGAATGATGAGAACGATATGATACAACCTTATCGCTTGCTCGCTTCAACAGCTGGTGGAATTGGGTTTGGCGCTCCGCCATTATATCCCGCTTGACACGCCCCATCATCCGTAGCGAACTAGACTGCAAAAGAGCGAATGGTGCATGAGAGTCATAAAAAGAGAAAATAAAAGGTAAAAAGGAAAAGGGAAATTGCGCAGGTCAATAAAATCATCATTGAATTAGTCGAACATACCTTCCTCGTTCTGAATTTCGCTTGCATTCTGACCATCAACTGTTCCACCCATTGCCAAAATTTCTTTCTCATATCCTGCTCGTTTCGCCAACTTCTTCAACTCTCTGTAAGTATTGCCACTTTTGTGGAACTAGTAAACTCTGCAAGAACGGTGGTACACAGTGAGTCAGCTCCGCATTTTCGTAAACCATGACAGCTCAAATTATGGAATTGCAACTTTTAACGGCGCTATTCAACTATTACTACCCGAATTTTCCACAAACAGGCCAGAGTTGAGTGACTTTTCTACGCGGGCAGATTTGGCCGAAAGTTGGGCACACGGGGTAATTCGACCTCCTGAACACGAATATCACATCCACTTGGCCTGAAAGTGCCTGGCGCCCGCGCCACAGGCGCCGGCGCCAAAAACCTTAAATCACCGAATTCGCTGAAAACTTGTCCCCAGGGGTAGTTTGACCTCCTGAACACGAATATCACATCCGCTCCGCCCGAAACTGCCTGGCGCCCGCGCCACAGGCGCCGGCGCCGAGGTACCAAATCCGCTGAAAACTTGTATACGGAGGTTATTTGACATCTTGATTACAAATATCACATTCATTTTTGGCGCTGGCGCTGATGGAAGACACTACGATCATCTGCGCTCTGCTAAGGCTGAGCCTGGCCTAAAGGGAATCACTCCTTCTCCCAGGCTCAGCCTTAGAAGAGCGCTAAATGGCGCTGGTGTCGAAAAATGAATGTCATATTCGTGATCAGGGCATCAAACAACCCTATTATGCAGGTTTTTATCGATTTTGATGAAAAAAAAGTGAGGCGCCAAATCAGTGCGTAATCGGCCAAATGGCGCCAGGGCTGAAAACTAATGCGGTATTCGTGATCAGGACATCAAGTAACCCTACTATGCAAATTTACATCGAATTTGGTGAGAAAGGTGGCGGCGCCAAATGGCGCCAAGCGCCGAAAACGAGTGCTATATTCGTGATCAGGACACCGAATTACCCCTACGGGCGGAGTTTCAGCAAAATTTTTTTTGACTTTTTGGGGTAGTAATAGTTGAATAGTACTAAACTTGTAACTTTGTGAACTAAATAAACTTGTAGCTTTGTAAACTTAATAAATTTGTAACTTTGTATCAAGAGGTAACAAGAGGTAGGATTCAAGAACAATATCCTCAAAATCCCGAGACTGCAGGAAAACGGGATATTTTACACGGAGGGTAGAACAAAGAAGTGTATAAAAGCATTTGTTTCAAACAGCTCGCAACAAAATCTCTTGTTTCTCCTTCTTTCTTTCTCATCGAAGTGAAAAATAACCAATACTACCTTTTTGTGAGTTTCTTTTCGCCCTCCACCTTTATGTCGGCCATCTTGTCGTTCAACTCTTCGTCCGACATGGCTTTCCCAACTAAAGCAGAATACATTAGAAATTATATAGCGCGAATAAAAGTTATATAGGATCAGCAGAAAACATGTTTGTGAAACGATCAGTTACTGAAAGGAGAAACTCGATAACACGAGTGATGATCCGCTATGGCAACCTCAATGCAATGGCGAACAACTATATCTTCAAGCAAGAAACCACTACAAGATTCTACGCTCTCAAACAAAGTTTTTTTAATGGGATAACACAGATGTTGAATCAACTGACTTCAAAAAGTCATCACAGAATGACTAACACTTCCGAAATATTATGAAATCGAAAAGTACTTAATGAGATGCAAAAAGTATGTGCCGTCTGTTGTGATGTGTTCTCCGCAAGTCACGTACAATTATGTTACTGCCGCCGCCAGTGACGAGCCGAGCAAGCGGATTGGCGAAGAGGTATGGGTGCGTATTGTTATTCGAAATCGGAGAACTAGAAGATCAGTCATCACAGGACATGCAGGAAGGGCAACGTGACTTAGATACCCGGTGGGCGTGGCCAAAATAGGGCGAGGGCTTGACGTGGACGGATATAATTAGGCTTCAGCGCTTCTTCCTGAGCTTGGAGACGATAATTTCCTTCTTATTAAACAGCTGTGTGTTTCTACTGCTTGAACTAAGAAGTTCCGAGAGGAAGAATTAACTTAGATTGGAGGCGAAAAAGTGGTTATCAGGTCTTACGTATGATCATGAAATCAACATTAAGCCACACCTTGAAGACAATAGGAACGTTTACCTTGTAAAC